AGAGATTCTGGGATAATTCAAACGTTTCACGGCACATACTTGGTCCCCCCAGGAGACAGCGGCGGAGATGGAAAATGCCACCACGGTCCCCGGCTCTCTCTCCCTCCATTGTCCCTACTCTTTAATCAGGCCCTCTCTGTGGCTCGCGCTGCCACCGTGGTGTGTTGTCTCAGCCTGGGAAAATGCCGGCCTAAGTGGCTGTTATGTGCTGAGGCGCAGACCACAGGGACCCAGAGGGGTGCTGCTGGAGCCCTCTGTGCCAGCCATGGGTCTCAGAGTGGCTAACACACACAATGAGTGAGGTCCCAAGTCTGGATGCAGCCTTACATAACAGCCATCGCTACATCTATTTACTTTTTGTCTGGGCTTCGATCACTAAATCATATGCCATCATAATCACAGGCGTGAGCCAAAACCCGATCGCAAATCATGAATGTTATTTGTTCCTATGGGGTTGCTGGGTGTAAACGAGCGTTAAACTGCCACACAGACAGGGCAGTGTTGTAGAAACTGCAGGCTGATTGCTTGGCTGTGAAGACTCTGTAGAGAGGGAGTTTCCTGCCCTGGAGTCAACAAATGACCAAAACAAAGGCTTTGTGTTTCCCTGAGTCACAGCGAGAAGAAGGTCAGCAACCAGAGCTACCTCAGAGTTCAGCCCGCTCCTAGCTTTGTTTTGGGACAGACTCGTGTTCGCGCCGGGCCGCTGGGTCAACTGACAGTTGGCCTTGAGTTCAGCCGGACACAATGCTCCATTAGGTCAAGTTTACAAGGGCTGAGTGAAACCCTACTGGTTTATACTAGTTTATATTTAGTGCTTATAAGCATGAATAGGGTTTTTATGAGGTGCCATAAATTTCATTTTCAAAAAAAAGGGTGAGTGTGGAGGCTCATGTACGCCTACCCTGTGGTTTCTCCAGGCCACCACGAAGCCTTTGTATTCGCCCTGTTTGCCATGGGAAAATATCTGAAACAAATAAGTTGCCTGGTCGGCACCCATCAGTGTAAAAACACTTCTAAGAGCTGTGGATTGTGCTGAGAGGGTGTGGTGCAGCGCTAAAGGAACCTCTTGTTTACTCTTGCTATGTCTGAAAATAAAAAAAGGAACTATTTTCTCTCTGAAATGGAAGGCAAATAAACAAGTATTCTTGAGCAGACAATGTGGGCAGGCACGAGCAGCCTGTGGTCGCGCAGCAGCATGCTGAACTCGGTGAGAGACGTGAGGGTGACACTTGGAGGTTCTTCCCCGAAAAACATCAACACAATCGGCATCGCTGTCATCGTCGATATCAATGAGCTTCTGAAGAAAACAACTTTTTAACTGTTGAGGGGAAAAGTGTTGCAAGTCTAGCAAAGTTTCTGTGGTAATTTTTGAAGTATGTAGTTTAAAAATCCTGCTGGAAACCCGTCAGTGTAGAGTTGATTGAAGGTATTAGTCAATCCGGTTCGCAATTAATAGTAACACAGAGCAGGGTTAGACTGTGATTTCAAAGAATCCACTCATAAAGATCAGTGCAGCCTTAATGCAAAAGCAACATGATTTGATTATTAATTATTTTTATGTTAAGAACTCAATGATTAAGCTCCATAACAGTTAAAAATATTGTAGCTTTATCAAGTGCATTCCACACAGTGCATATAGTGAAACCAGGTGCTGCCTTTACAATAAGAAGAGTGAAACTGTGCTAAGCTCACGTCACCATCCTGCCCATTTTAGAAGATTTAGACAAACAGGAAATATAAAAGCAGAAAGTGCAGGTTTATGTCATACATTGTTCGATGCAGTCTCATCTTTAACTACTCCATCCTGGTTACTTGTGCCGCCATTAACAAGGGGCAGCACAACTAACTCATAGTAATAAATACCATAAATAACAAATAAAAGGACATGTACTTGCCATTGTAGATAATCTGGTTTTATTTATAGATGGCTCAAAAGACTAGATGTGCAGTTTCATCCCCCAATTTGAAATCGCTATCAAGAAAAGAATCACAGTAGTTATTATTTAATAATCAGACTGTACAATAAGGGTCTGAGTGGTTTGCTTTGTTTTGGTTCCTGTTCATGCAGCAGTAGAAGGAAATAAAGAGGCAGATACACAAGGCGAGCAATCACTCCAACTACAAACAGTAAAATGAAAATTCCACCGAAGCAGAGGGTGAAACCATCACAAAGAATCAAATGCAAAAAGTATGGCACGAATACTGGGAAATAAATGATGCAGAAAGACGTCTTTATAACGCTTAGAAGCATGTTGGTTTGGGGAGGAGGCTGAGCAGGAACGAAAAGGAAGAGGCAGTCTTCATCCGTCCCAGGAATCAGAGTCAAAATCAGTTTTATTGCCAAGTAAAAAAAAACAAAACTATTTTTAAAAAGCAAGTGCAAGCAAGTCAGCAGACACTAAGTGTTTCAAGTCAAATCAGCAGCAAGTGGAGTGTCTGAAGGAATTACTACAGCAAAAAAAAAAAAACTTACAGTGTGCAGGAATGTGGAAATTGTTTATCTGAGAATGTGCAAGGTTACACAGTATGTGGTGTAAACAACCTGAGATGTGCAAAGGAAAAATAATTTAAAAAGCAGTATGTAGCACATTAAGTCAGTGTCTATTGTGGGGAGTTGGAGGAGACAGGCAATGTCAGCGGGGGTCTCTGATTTTGTTGATGAGGCCAGTTGTTGTTGGGAAGGAGATAGGACATACTGGATTGAATCAGGCACACCATAAGGTGAGTAAACACTCACCTGTTAGATGTGTACACTGTGGTGTAGGGGCAAATGTAAGGGCTCAGAGGACGAAAGGAAACTGCCATCAACATTCAAACCTCCGTCTGGTAAAAATATGTATTTTCAACTGGTTAGCATGTTCACATGGTGTAGACACTAAATACGGCTCATATCTTGCAGTCAGTATCGTGGCTGACCATTTCCATCATAATAGTGTAAAGTCTACACACTTTCAGGGCCTAAATGTCACCAGATATCACCAGCCATGTCTGATACGACATCTGCTGCACTGTACAGAGTAATATAGATCTTACACAATTATCATCCCACCTCTGGTTGTGTTACATTAACATGCTATATTTAGCCTGACAGTGACATATTTAAAAAAGCAGAGTAAATGATAATTGTGAAAACAGGAGGAGGAAAAAAAAAAAGAAGAGAATTTTACACAATCTTGCACCTTCTTTCCTCAACCGCTGAGAAGAAGCAGCGACTAGCTCCTTGTCTTCTAATACACTGTCGTCTGACTACGTGGACTCTCACTCCTTCCTGTGTTTCATGTCGTGTTAGTCGTCTTTGGAGCGGTTGCTAGTGGACGGACTCTTCGAGCTGCTGTGTTGCTAATTATTTTTCTAAAGAATAAGTTTCCAGTTCAGTCATCCATCCATTATCTATACACCGCTTAATCCTCATGAGGGGTTGCTGGGGGGCTGAAGCCTATCCCAGCTGACTCAGGGTGAAGGCAGGGGACACCCTGGACAGGTCACCAGTCTATCACAGGGCTACACTTAGAGACAGACAACCAAGCACACTCACATTCACACCTATGGACAATTTAGAATCACCAATTAACCTCAACATGTTTTTGGACTGTGTGGGAGGAAGCCGGAGAACCCGGAGAGAACCCACGCTGCACGGGGAGAACATGCAAACTCCACGCAGAAAGATTCCGGTGTCCCCACCGGGACGCGAACCGGCAACCTTCTTGCTGCGAGGCAACAGTGCTACCAACTGCGCCACAGTTCAGTCATGTATGGCTAAATGAATCCAACTTGTCATTGCGTAGAGTTTTAAACGGTTTGAGCAGAGTTGGCAGTGGCCTCGTGTGCTTGAGCTGCAGCAGGTGGCGAGATGTGGATCAAGAGAGGCGGGGACTTTCTGCAGAATCTAGAGGAAACAACAGTGTGGAGTTACATCTAAATCATTGTAAGGCAGGAAGGGGTTATTTCCGTAGAAAGACACCCAACTTTGATAGCGATGAGTTTTTAGGGGTTTAATTAACGACCAGAGAGGAAGTATAAAGAAAGCCTTCACTGGAGGGATCCTCCTTGGAGATGTTTAATGGGGAATCTGCAGTCACATAAAAAAGTGCCTGAAGAAAACAAGGTTAATAGAGGTCATTAATCAGATCTTTATTTCTTTTCAGAGGTGGGAGTACAAATAATTTGTTACTGTACTTATGTAGATTTTGCAGGTATGTGAACTTTACTTTAGTATTAATTTTTCTTTTTTCTTTTACTCCCTACATTTGAACACAAATATCTGTGCTTTCTTCTTCTTACATTCTCAAAACTGGCTCGTTACTTGTTTCAACCTCGCGGATGACTACGTGATGTAAAAGACGTAACAACAAACGTCTTTATCTTTCCCAGCAGTCACTGAAGCTCAAAGCACCCCTACCTGCCTCAGCTGCCTGTGAGAGGCTTTCTAGCACTGCAGGACTGATTTTCAGACCCAAGAGGGCACGTCCTTCATTCAAAGAACTTTGAGAACCAGCGTCTGCTGAGGCTCAATAAAAGATTTTGGTAGTCTTGAAGAGACGAGTGTATCCATGTTGATTATCATGTTTAATGTTCATAATGTTGCTGAAATGGAAAACTGTCCAGTGATGTTTTTCCAGCACTGTGCAGGTTCTTAAAGGATGAAAACAATCCTATTTTGTGTGCTTAAAACTTTTTTTTTGTTTTACAGAGTGATCAAAAGAGGCATCGTGTATCATCGAAGCTAAAAATTAATTTTTACTTTTTACTGTTGTACTTAAGTAAATTCATTTTACTTGAGTAAAGGAGTTGGGTCAGTATTTCTACTTTTACCAGAGTCTATTTTTACACAAGTATCTCTATGACTACTTAAGCAAAGAATGTGAGTACTTCTGCCATCTTTGTATGTTATTTTTTCCAGGTCTGTCAATATACTCATGTACCCTCCAGCCCGGTAGGTGGCGGTAATGCGCCTGCGTGCTGCCTCGCCAACCACCAGCCAGCTGTGAAGCAGAAGAAGACACAGTGGACACGGGACAATGAGCCCTGCTAACCGCCGTCTGTGTGATGTGGTGAAAGATTTGTTAGGGTCAGCGTAATTAAACAGGTGAGTGGTTACGAGATGCACTTTTATTTCACGGTTCGTTAGCATGCTGTGTAAAATGCTTTCAGCTTTCTGTGAGGTTGTAGTAAAGTATCACCAACTAGCTGCCGGGCGCTAGCAGCACATGCTAGCTTTAAGATGAGAGAAACTCAGCGTTCATTTTTTGTTTTTTTTTAGGAAATTTACATTTTTAGCAACATTGATGAGGTTTTAAACTATCAAACACTCACCTCCTGCCTGTCAGCTGAGGTAACTCACTGGTGAACCTTTCATTTTGACCTAAAACTATAATAATTGCAGCTGCATAGTTGAGCAATATGAAGAATTTGTCTCTGAAACAAGAGACGTGTTTGTCAGGCTTCAAATATGATGCTGTTAGAAGTTAGTAAGGTTGTTTTAGGTCACTCTGTATCCAACGTGTGGCACTGCAGCTCCACCAAGTCCAGTGTCAGCCCCCATCCCCTTCACCTGTTTCTTCTGGCTCCTGGCAGGACCAGCTGAGCTGTAGACATGGAAGTGCCTTGCTACCTGCCCAAACTGCTGTTTGAGCTCAATGAGCAGCGTAAGCGGGATTTCTTCTGTGACTGCAGCATCCTGGTGGAAGGACGTGTCTTCAAAGCCCACCGTAATGTGCTGTTTGCTGGGAGCGGATATTTTCGAGCTCTTCTGGTTCACTATCTGCAGGCGAGTACACCAGCGCTTCTCTCCATGTGTGTTTTTTTTTTTGCTTCCAGGTGAGGAGGGCAAAAGTCAGTAGCTTCTTAGAGATACACAAGACAATGTGTTCATCATTGTGTTATCAAGAAAAGATCAATTTCTATAAAGGCACTAAAGCACAATGGAAGAAGTAAATGCCTCCCCATGAGTGGATGGTCAGAGAAGGGAAAAGCTTAAAGGTCTCGTACGTTTTGTTAGTGCTCATCAAACTATCTGTTAGGTACACCAGCTTCATCCTGCTGTCGTGACTCAGTCTGCCTGCTGTGGGCCAGTGATAATCAGGCACTGTTGTCAAAGCATATAGCCGAAATAACTCGTCCTATCTAAATACTTCGAGTCTTCAAAAAAGACACACGAGAAGGAAAAAATCTTTAAAAAGTCTTCAAAGTCTGATGTGAATAATGTTTATTCAATACTAGTGGCGAGCCGTGCATTTTACTCCAAGGCCTTCAGTGGTGTCCTACCTGAGTCAAACCACCTTATAAATCATCAGTGTTATACAGAAAGGCAGTGTAACAGGACGTTGCATTACAGACCGGTATCTCATGTAGCGAGAATGAACGCCAGAACTAAAGAAATCCAGTTAAAAGAATTTAAGCAGTCTGCTTTTACTGCAGCCACAGCGGCACCATATACATCACATCTAGCAGAAGCATCAATATTAACCCAATAAAATGACAAAAATATATGTTTTACTCATCAAAACTTGAACACATGATTTTGGTTATTTGGGTGGGTGAGTGAATACTTTTGGCAATATAGTGTATGAAGTTTAAAGTTTCACAACTCTAATGTGCAGCTGTCAGTTTTATGTGAACACACACAGAGTCAGAAGCAGAAAGTCTGAATTGACAAAGAAAGTTGATAACCACCTTCGTGACACCTGTTATCTCTGACTGAGGACTTAGTTTTTTGTGGAGCTGATTTACACAAAGACAGCCTGGCTGTGTCAGACTTGCTTCGTAGTACACCCCTCAGGACAACCAAAGGCCCATATATGATGGCAATATCACATTGTTGTTGTTTTACCTACATCTGATACAACACTTTAACAATATTTTGAAATGAGACACAAAATAGCTGAACATACATCAACATTTATGCACTTTGTCTGCTCTGTACGTCTTTTGAATTTTAAAATGTTGCACCATACAACAAAATGGTAATGGATTATTTAAATACTAAGCTTTGTGAGAGAGAAGAAAAAGAAGAAGAAAAAGAGAAGAATGTCACTGCCAGATCTAAAATGAGTAAAGATAATTACATTGAAAATAAATAATTGATTCATTATTAGTTACAAACACTGACCTGAAATGAATTTAGTCTAACACACGAGTCCTGCAATAAATCTCAGCTTAATGAAGGCTATAACTTCAGTTTCTGTTTAAATTAATTTAGGGAGCTGTTGCTGTAACCTTGTGTTCCTGGTGGAAGCTGTTATGTGTGATGCTATAGGATTGTGTTGTAAAATGGGGTTTTGTTAATTCAGTAAGTTGAGGCTAGATATCAGAAAACACCTTCAGGTTTATTTCATGACTGTTTAACAGCAGCATCACAGAGTGCACCTTCCCTTCCTCCTTCTGCTATATATGTGTGACCATTTTCAAAATCCCCTTCGCGACAGGAGACGAGCGGAGCAACCTACACACTGAAAGTTTCAATGTTTTGCTAAAGCTTCAGATCATGCAATGACAAGTCCCACAGACGAATCTATTTCAATGGCAGTTCTCGCCTCTCTGCATGCAAATGTCTAGAATCAATCTAATTATGCAGTCACTAAGCACTGTGTATGGTATTAAGAGTGGCCAGTTAAATATATTGAGTTCTGACAGCCATTCATTTTAAGCCTTTCTCCCAGGAAACAATACAGTCAGCCACGTTCCCAACTGTTTCACTGCACCCTCTGAGGTCTGCATATAGTCTGACAAAACTGACAGATGGGGAAGTGCTTATAGCGTTTTACAGCAGCCACAATGACAAGGCTGACTTCGCTGCAGACTTAACATATAGTTTATGCTTTCCGGCCTTGTGGAATAATCAGTGGCCACAGTTTAATGGGCTGATGCTGACTATCTCAAAATGCTATGTAATTAGCCATCTGATTAGTTGATCACCCACAAATATGAGTTTGATAAAATCATCAGAAGTTTAAGATCTTAAAAAAAAAAAATCAAGCTCAGAAAATGATTGCTACTTCTAAATTTTAACACTGTTATAGTCTCCTGAAGTAAGCTTTAAAGTATAAGAGGATTTGGTTTACAGTCTTGATCTAATGAACAGCAACATCAGATAAATATAGTCCTAAATTGTCCTGAACTTTGAATATATCTCTCTTCAGGACAATGGACAGCGCTACAGCACAGCATCGTTGGACATCGTAACAGCTGATGCCTTTTCTATCATCCTGGACTTCCTCTACTCTGGCCGCTTGGCTCTGAACCGGAGCAACGTCATTGAGGTGATGTCAGCAGCCAGCTACCTGCAGATGACTGATCTGGTGAACTTCTGTAAAGGGTACATCCGCTCATCTCTAGAAATCTGCAGCAAGGAGAAGGAGAAGAGCACGGAGAAAGAGAACCGGGCAGAGGACGGAGGAATGGGTCTTGCAGACAGCGGCACTCCTGCTGCGACAGTCTCCAGCGGTGCAGGCGTTGCTGAGCCTCGTTCACAGGTTGCAGAGGCAGACAGAGGGTCTGGTTTGAGTTCTGAGGCCGTTACATCGGCAAGAAACCCCTTGTCTATCTCCGTCACCACCCCTCCAGCCTCCAGCAGGGACATGGATAGTGGTTACCCTTCCAGGGAGGAATTTACATCCGTCAGTGAAGGACAGAAGGGACACATGGATCAGACTAATCTCTCATCCTCCTCGTCCTCTGCGTTGACTCCAGAGTTAGTGAACCCTAAGATAGAATATGACCCTGATGAGGAGCTTATGGAGTCCCCTGACACCAAAGACCTTGCATCATATGCTGGGCCTTCGCTGCACAATAACCATCATAGCAGACTACTTCCCCCAAGTCCCTCTCCCTCCAATGAACGCTCCCCCTTGGGATACAGCCCTTCGTTTAATGCTCGGCAGCTGATGGAGATCGTGGCCAGAGGTGAAGGCCCCAGTCCTCTGGGGGATAGAGTAGGGCAGCGCTTTACCCAAGGACAAGGTAGCAACACGGGAGGAAGCAGAATGGATGAAGGTTTAGGGTTTGTGGGATCGTCTATAATGGAGATCCAATCTGATTGGCTTGGAGAGGACACAGGTAATTAAACACAAGACAACCCAATGCACATGAGCTAGGATGACACACTATATATCTCTGCTGACTTGTTTAAAAAAAAAATGTACAGAAAATTCTCAGGCAGAAGAATGGAGCAGATTTGAACTGTTGTTGTCTTTCTCCCCCTGCAGGTGATGGCTTGGTAGTGCCAGTGAAGCTTCACAAGTGCCCTTTCTGCCCGTACACTGCCAAACAGAAGGGGATCATGAAGAGACACATACGTTGCCACACAGGAGAAAGGCCTTTCCCCTGCCCAATGTGTGGCAAGAGGTTCACTCGACAGGAGCACCTTCGCAGCCACGCACTCAGTGTAAGAACTCAGTGTGGTTCTCACCTCAGCGTTGCCAGCGCGGTCGGTTTCAATATGCAGATCTTCCCGTCAAAGCTAGATTCTGATGCAAAAGTTATCAAAGAAAGGAAATCCACAATTACTATTTGCCAGTTTATGTAGTTTTTGCCTCAGTTGAAAAGCCTGCTGTCTGTGTGGTGGGCAGCGAGCTATTTTGATTGTGTAGTTACAAAAACCCACAGTTTAGCCCCTCTCGCTTTAAAAAAAAAAAAAAAAAAAAAAAGAACTGATGACATAATGGGAATTTAAATTACTGAGGGATATATGAATTCTGTGGCTCTCCTCTAGATGTAAATACAGTCGTGACTCGATAATCCGACACTAAATGCAAAACCTTCTTTTATGTCGGATAGCAAGGCTGTCGGATTGTCAAGACAGAGGTCCAGATACAAGGAGGGCTTAATGCTCGAAGGGTAATTTGTTGTTAATATTTATTGTTTTTAGTTGTTATAACTGGTGTGTTGTGAGAGCACAACGCATCGCTGGATTTCACACCTAATTGACCGGTGCGCTTGTGCACGTTCTGGCCACTTCCACCCCAGAGGTGCGCTCTGATGGGGTGGAAGGGCCTGGAACGCACATGCCAGTTTAGAATAGGTGTCACAGTTCTGTTTCCACCATCGGTGGTGGCGGGGGAATGGTGAATACTTCCGTAAACACTGAGCACGCTCGCTGTGTGTGACGTCGTTGTGTCCTCTCCTGCGCAAGGGGGACACTTTTGGGTCGTATGAAGTTCCTACAGCAGATCACATACAAGTCACGTTTAATTGGAAATGTGAACTCGCAAAAAATCGGATTTCACAAAAACATCTGAATTGAGCGTTAAGTCCCGCAGTGTGAACGTAGCCAATCTGTCGGATTAAGTCACATAATACGCTGCTATCCTTATTTGTGACATAAAATGTCATGTTGGAGTCGGAATCCAAGGCTGTCAGTATGTTAAGGCCACTTCTTGTGGGTTCTGTTCGTTTTTCCTAAAAACCTGTCAGACAGCAAGGTTTTCAGATTGTTAAGCGTCGGATTATCGAGTCACGACTGTATGTGTACATCGCTTGACAAGAACAGTTGTGGGCAGTGTATCTAAAAATCTGACTTACTTGTTTCACTTATAAGGTGCCAACAACACAGGCTGCTTAGCTGGGAAACTAGGAACACATAGAAAATCTAGTTTAAATGACAACAAATAACGTTGGGAACTGTCATCCAGAATAGTTTGTTGACAACAAATTTAAATTAAGATTGTTCTTCATTCACTATTTTCATTATAGTTGAATTTGGATTTCATGGTGAGGAAAAGATTGTGAAGAGTTTTTAAGTGTTTAGTTTTTTTTTAGTTTAGTTTTTATGGAAAACCAAATCAAGCACAGGTGATTGTTTAAAGCAAAGTAGTTTATACATGTTTTCAAATGTTTAGGTTGTTGTGGGAAATGGTCTACGGATAATAAACAGTGCCATTGTTGCACTTTACAAATCCATTTTTTACTTTTTGTCTTAGTTCCAGAGAGTAGTATAGTCCACAGTACATGCTGAAAGTAGAATGGTTTGTTCAAGACAACTTTAAGCCACTGAATGCAAGTGGTTAATTTTAAACAGTAATAAGCCATTTCATTCTTTAATTCAGTGACGTTAAGTTGATTTACGAGTGCAGTAAATCTTTTGGCTCCCATGTCGTTGTTCTTCACCTGCACTAATCCATAAGTTGCTGCTGGTAACACTCACCGTGTTGACCATCCACAGGTCCACAGACATTACTGGCCAGTATCATGCAAGAGCTGCAGACGAACCTTCACTGGATCGGGTGTTTCGCCAGGACTCAGACGCTTTGGCATCTGCGACAGCTGCAACTGTGTGACCACCACGCATGATGATTCGGCCCCCGTCCACCCCTCCGGCCAAGCAGAGCCCATGGAGCGTTCGGACGGAGGCACAGATTGGTCCAGTTTTATGGACGATGTGGACGAGGTAGAGGTTGGCAGAGTGGAGGACTTGGTGGAGAAACAGATGCTTGAAAGACAGCTTGCTGTCTGCACTGATGTAGGTCAAACACTGTGAATATGACGTCCACTATACTCGGAATAAACCCTTTCCCTGATCTGTGGCCACGCTATTGTGTTAAATTATCACTGTACAATGAATAATTTATTAAATCATTTGTATCCAGAATATCCAGTCTTTCTCACTCTTGCAGATATTGTGCTCTGGTGATTTTCCTAGCAAGAAAGAAGTGTTTTGTTTTTAAAACCATGGATGTGATCCTTAATTTTTTGATGTATTTGCACAGCTGATCAAAACCAAATTTTTTTTAATGTGTTGTACATAAAGAGAGTGTGCCTGTCAAAGCGTCATTTTGCTGAACCTCACACAAGATGGACTAAGTAGCTTGCTACACATTTTGTTCTGTCCAAAAATATCAGTTTGTAGATAACAAGAGCTTTGTAGGGATGATTTTGCCACTTGGGGTACCGTTGCAATAAATGTTTTTTTGTGTAACTGTGGACATAGCCTGTCATAGTCTGTCCTCACATTTTAGGGTTTAATGCTCTTAGTCAATAGTTAGTATTGAGGTGAGGGTATTCTCTTGCTGCTTGTCTTGAATGTATTTGCATCAGGTACAAAAGTAGCCTAGGGCGCCCTCTAGTGGTTATTCAGTGATACAAATGTGCCAGCAGCTGCTGAAGTAACTGGCTACATTGCATTAGGGAGGCAATGGATTTTTTTTAAGAGAAGATGTTTCTTGATGCACAAAATTGTGAAATGCTGATTCAAAACCAAGTAATCCCGACAACCTTACTGGGTATAAATTTTCCCTTTGAATAAATCAAAGTAATTTACAGAAGAGAAAATACCTTGAATACTGATGGAAGCCCAGCTTTTACAGTCTGGAAAGCAATTTTTAATTCTCACAAAAGGTTGTTCCTTTTCCGTTTAACACAAACTACATTTGTAAAAATGGACATAAATACAGACTTGATGCCAATATGCTACCACTTGAAGACTGTGCTTTAGGAATACCAGTTGTGGATAAAACTTTGAGCATAGATCACATATATCATGGCAGTCTTGAGTTTCTAATGACTCCTGTAACTTTTCATTTTCTGTGTTGGAATCTTTCTAACACGTGCGTCTTTGCCACAAAAAGCAATCGTGTATTTTGGTTCTTTCTTAGATTTATTATAGGTCTTATTGGAATATGATGGGATCTGCTGGATGGTATATAAATACAATAATGCTAATGTTTGCTTACCTGTCCCCTGGTCGTGTATACCTCAGCTCAGCCTCGCCTCCAAACACATTTCTTCTCATTGTGGCCAAATTGCTCAGTTTCCTCTGAACACAAACCTTTCCTCCAGAAGGCTTTTTTTTTCTTTGTCCATGTGATCAACACCAAACTTCAGTTGAGTGTTAAGGTGCTGCTTCCAGATGAAGGGCTTCCTTCTTGCATGGCAGACTCTCAGCCCACGGCGATGTAAAACACTTGACTGTGGACACTGACATCTGTGTTCCAGCAGATTCAAATTCATTGCAGACCTGCTTTTTTGGTGATACTTGACACATCCTGACCAGTTGTCCCACAGCAGCTGGTCATACCTTGTGTTTTCTTACCCATCATGGCAGCAACACGACTACACCATTTATTTCACACTTGAAAACAAATAATTTTCAGATACGTAGCTGCTTTGAAATAGCTCCAAGTTACTTTCCTGAGTTGTTGCAGTAAATCATTTGCTTTTCCAGACATTTGCGGAGCGTCTCAGACGTTATCACTGCAGGGCTTGTGGCTGAACCTGAGCACATCAGATGGCCCATATTTAAATAAGCTCAGAGAACTCCGCTGCTATTGTTGGTCTTAATCACTCACGAGAAGTCAAGAGACCGTGACACGAGGAAAATGTGAATAACACAGCTGTCTAACTCAACAAAACTGTAAGTATTTTTTTTTTGATGCAGCAGATTTGGTAATTTTTCCCGATGACCTACAATGAATTTAACAAAGAACTCAAATGTATTAGTTTTTTGTGTCACTGATACATTTGGTTGAATGAGATCCATTGTTGAAAAGTCACAGGAGTCATTTTGAAGACTGCCACGGTCTTTAGAAGTGTATGTAAACTTTTGTCACAACTGTATGTATATAGAGACTTTAAAAGGCAACTTTACAAGTTCAAGTCTTTTGTGTTTCCCCTCTTTTTGATATTTATTGTTTTCGTCGTCATTGTTCCTGCTAAATTTTCTTAATAATAAAACTGCATTAGAATAACACAGTAGATTTAGATTTAGATTGATTTTGCATTAAATAAAGTTCAACATATTACAGATTTAAAGGATGTGTAAAAACATAGTGCATTTTGAAACACTTCAAACTTACTATGACTTTATATCAATTTTAAATCTCAGCAGTTTCAGGAAAATTTAAAAAAAAAAAAACAAGTTGGAATTAGTTAATTAATTAGTTCATTAGTTAGTATTTAGTTCAACAATTCAAAAATCCTGTTCTATAAATGAGAGTGTTCACCACATGAAGTAGGAAATACACCAGGAGGAGACACTGCAGAGCAAAATGTAGCTGAGCTAAACTGGAATATAAAAGAAATGATCAGGAACCTGAAGACTTCAGTTTTGCCTTTTGATCAACTGTGAGCAAAGTAGAGAATTGTTTTGTAATAAATGGATCATGTCAGCTCGTAGTAGATCAACACTGAATGCACATTTCATCAAATTAAACGTTCTGCTGGTGAGTTTTCAGCACAAAGCAAGGGCTGTGTGAGCAGGCTCCAGAACGACATAACAACTGGGAAATCAATGACGATTACAATTTGAAAATGTGATATTATTTTAAAATAACATACTCCAACAGTATTAACAATGTCATTTGAAAATTATGAGAAATGAAATAAACTGTGAAAATTAGATTTTTTAATTTTTTAATTTTTTTAAATAACGCACAATGGTTCATCAAAAATCCACAGAGTAGGTAACGAGAGACAAGAATATGAAAATAATCCTTTGTCGACCTCCTAAGTAACCAAATGCATCACATGCACAGCTGCAACACCACGTCAGCCAAACAATACTCATTTTACATCAAGCACCAGCGCATTATCAGTGATAACAATATCCAAAATGACAACAGAGAAACAAAGGAAGAAACAACATTAACTAGACTGCCATACACATCCAATAAAGATACATGGTGGTCATTTGCACGCCACTGTGAAGACGAGGACTTGGTCTCAGTCAAATTTAAGTTAATCCTAAGGAATCCTTCCGAAGTGCACCGCCTTATAAATTTGCAACTCAGACTGCCTTGCAGGGCTGCACGGGGGTTCGGTGGTTAGCACCACTGTGTGGAGTCTGCATGTTTGCCCCGTGCAGCGTGGGTTCTGTCCGGGTTCTCCAGCTTCCTCCCACAGTCCATAGACATGTTGAGGTTAATTGGTGATTCTAAATTGTCCGTAGGTGTGAATGT